AAATAAGCTCCTGAGAATGAGAAAAGAAATAAACATCACAAAATGAATACAACGACATGAATTAGTGCATAACTTCATAACTCCAAATGTTCATAATACCCCAATTAAAAGATAGACTGCTAGATTAGATTAAAATAAAGTAAGACTCAACTCTGTTACCAACAAGAAACACACATCATTGGCAAAGATCTACCCAGACTGAAAGTGAAAAGATGAAAAACAATATTCAATGTAAACAGAATCTGAACGTAAGCTATATTCATATTTGATAAAGTAGACTTCTAGACAAAATTTGTCACAAATGACAAAGATGCCCTCCAGAAATTGTTAAAGGAAACAACCCCCCATAAATATATAACAATGATATATGCACCAAACATCAGTGTATCAAATTTCATAAAACAAATGTTATTTGAGGTAAAACATACAGGTTTCAAAACAATAAAAGTGGATGATTTCAACACTCTGCTCTCACAAATAGCTCATCCAGTGCTAAAGAAAGAAAGAAAGAAAGAAAGAAAGAAAAAATCTAACACTCATCTATCCACAATGTTGGTTCTGAAAGGAAATAAAAATTTGAAACATTGAAAAGATCTTCTCTAAGCTTTAAGTATATTATTCTTTTTATCAAGGGAAATATGTTTACTGAAGGCAATTTCACAATACCTGCATGCATAAAAAAGAAAAGAAAAATAATTCACAGAACCCTATCACCTTAAACAGTTAAATTTCTGATACAGAATTTAATTTTCTTTAATGGTGGGATTGGTTGAGTTAACCTAAAAGTTCTCAGATAACTAAATATGAAAAAATAGCTCATATTACCCGAAGAACTGTCAAAAAAATTTTAGGTACTCACAAGGTAAAAACCCATAAAGAACAGACTAACGGACACTGAGGTCCATAGTAGATATTTTCCTCAGTAAAAAACGACATACTTGAGGTGTCACATTTTGGGTTACTAAAGTGATAGAAAATCAAGGAGAGAAATCTTTTTATAAAGAGGTAACAACTTTCCAAAATATGCTTAACAATGTCTTTCAAATTCTTTGCAAATCTTGGAAGTGTGCATTTGCAGAAGAGTCCAGAGAACTTGGTGGAAGGGATCCACTAGAAGGCTGAGCTCAGCAGCTGACTTTGCTGCTGTCTACCACCACCGAGACAGAATTTCATGTTTGAATCTCATCTGCATTAGTCTATTTTGGCTGTTCTAACAAAATATCACAAACAAGAGAAATTTATTTCTCACAGTTGTGAAAGCTGTAAAGTCCAAGATCAAAGCATTAGTAGATTCAGTGTCTGAACACCTACTTAACACCTACTTTGGATTTCACAGATGGCCATCTTTTTGCTGTCCTTACATGGAAACTCTTTAGGTTATCACTTTGGTGGTAACAGGATTGCAAATTATGAATTTAGGGGAACACAAATATTCAGACCATAGCACCATCCAAAAAGGGAGTCTTAGTAAATATCCGAAGTTTTCCACAGGCTCACTTTGATAAAAGATAAAACTAAGCTTCAACAAATTCAAGATAATTATCCAGAAATGTATGTTCAAGACAAAACAAAATCAACACTTCATAGGGAAGCACCAAAATCCAGATTTTAGATAAACAGAGGGAAAAATGAGACCGTTTTTATAAAATATTAGTGACATATAGAGCAACTTGTACTTTCCTATATAATTTCTAGAAGGATTAAAGTGTGGTAAAATTAGTTCAGAAAGCTGGGGGAATTTTCTTGAGTGGTTGTAAGCTATATCTGTGTATCTATATCTGTATCTGTGTATCTCCCTATCTTAGTACATCGTATCACCATCTACACTGACCATACACCAAAAAAGAAAGATTTAAGAGCCACTGTTGATTTCTCTCTCCCTCATACACAATTAGCAAACCCTGATTCTAACCATTTTCCATCTACCCTAGGTTAAGTCAGGATCACACCTCCTCAGGGGTAACCCAATGGCTTCTGTGGCTGACTGTCTCACCATAGGGGAAAAGAATTTCACAAAAAAAAGATCAAAGGGCCTGGGAATGGCTGCATACATCTGTATTCCTAGCTACTTAGGAGATTGAGGCAAGAAGATTACTTGACCCAGGAGTGCAGATCAGCAACATAGCAAAAATCCTAGGAAAGAAAGAGAGACAGAGACAAACACAGGGAAAGAGAGAGGGGAAAAGGGAAGAAGGGGGAGGAGTTGAGGGGAGAGGAGAAAAAGAACGGAGAGGGGAGGGCAGAAGAAGGGAGAAGGGAGGGGAGGGAAGAGGTGAGGGGAGGAGAGGAGAAGAAGGGAGGGATATGAAAGGAGGAAAGTAGGACAGGGGAAAATCAGAGTACTTCAACCAAAAGAGGCAGAATCAAGTACAGGTAGTCAAAGGCAGTAAATGACTTTTGAGATGGGTCTTTTTTTTTTTAATTTTAGCAATTTTATAGATAACTGTGATTGGTTAATCTTGATTGTGAGCTTGATTGAACAAAGGCCTAGGCAATCAGTAAAGCATCTGTCCCACAGACAGTTAGATCATGAGGGCTCTCACTCCATCAATGGATTAATTTATTGATTAGATAATACTTTAATGGTGCTACTGGAAAGCATGGAAACAAAATTGGGCTTGTTGGGCAGTGATCTTGGAACACAATCTTGAGACTCACATCATGTCTCCTGCTCCTTTCTCTGGCAAGCTTTTTATCTCTGACTTTTGGCTGCTGGAGACTGAGCAGCTCTGCTCTGCAACGTTCTCTTGCCATGATGTTCTTCCTTGCTATAGGCCTAAAACAACAGAACTGGCCAACAACAGAGCGCAAACCCTGAGACTGAACCAAAGTAAATCTTTCCTTCTCTAACTTGTTTGCTTCAGGTATCTGCTCACAGGTGACAAAAAGCTAACATAGCAAAATTGAAATTTTTACTTCTGAACACCCAGCACTTCTATAACATGCTGTATGACAAACTTTTCAGACATAATCATTTAAATGATAAGAATGGAATGAGAATAAAAATGTAATTGATGTATGTGTTAATTAAAATAAGTTGATGATGAGGGGATGGTTAAATGCAAAAGTGCTTTCTAAGCAAGAATATGTATCTTAAAACTCTGAAACAAATACAAATTACAATAGTGAAAATAACAGTACCAAATGTAAAAGAGTATAAAATTCTCTATCATTCAAGAGCCATGAATGATGAAATGGAAAAATAATTCAAGAGAAAAGTAAACAGATAACAGAAGAAAACAAAGCCCATTTTTTCTTTTGAAGATACCCAAACTCCCCCAAAGGAAATTCATGGAAATTGGGATTTTAAATGTTTTATTTTATTAGGTATAGGATCAACAAAATTAAAATGATTTTTAATATTAGGAAGCACTCACTGAGACAGGTTATTAGTAGCAACATAAAATGAGAGAGAATTTTAACATCAATTAAAATGTAAAGTACATATATACTTTGATTACTCCATGATCCTGCATAAATATTACCTTAAGCATACAAAGTTATCCATGTCTTTGGATGGTATATCTCTGTATAATCATACAAACAATGATTTTTGATATTCATAAACTGACATAGAATGGTATCTCAAATTTCTTGTAAAATGTAAAATGCAAGTTGCAACAGAGTATATTTTCCCACTACTTACTAACATATATTCAAACATGTTAGTATTAAGATTAAAAAAAAAAAACTTGTAAAGATTGTACTAAGGATTCCTAATCATGGTTTTACCCTATAGGTGACACCAAACAGAGCATTTTCTTAGAGCATTAGAGTAAATTATCCAAACACAAGAAAAGGTAATACAAGCCTGGGACAAATGGAGTTACAGTTTATGTACTGAACTGTATTGCATTCAACTTTTCTATGTGAAGCCCTGTAGACTCGCATTAAATACTGTCTCCCTGGTGTGAAATAATTGGCAATTGATCACATGAATAGCGTTACAAAATAATTTTCAATAATAAAGAGAAAGACTTCTGTTTTGTTCTCAGAATGCTTAGGGAGAAAGCCTACTTTGTCGCCTTGCCTTTTGGGTTGTACCCCTGACAAGTTCCACATTCTCACCCCAATTATTTTCAATGATCCAGAATACCCTAGTCAGTTTGTCTGTTTCTGCCCTGCATGTAAAGTGGGAGCAACACAAACAGCCTTCTTGTCCACCACTTCTTTAAAGACACATTTAAATATGAATCTTAAATGCAAATGGAGGAGGTGAAACTTAGACAGAATCATGCAACACTGAAGTTGAAGTGTCCTATCTTGGTTGCAAGGCTAAAAGCACAGCCACCGGAGAAGACAACTGGGAAAGAGTACTACACATTCCAGAAAGCCCTCTGAAAACTCACATGAGAGGGAATAAAATTACTTTTACCTACATATTCATCCATGGGCATTCTAGACTTGTCCAAGATATTTACCTGTAATACAAGTGTGCCACTTTCAAAAAAAAAATCAGAAAAACAACTTGCATCACACATATACAGAAGCATATGTTGATATATGCACGTGGGTATATATATAAATATAGGTACAGGTTAGATATAGATACAAATTTCAGTTACCTCACCTCTCCAGCTTTATTTATCTGCTTGGTGCTGAGGCAAAAAGATTACAAATTTGAGATCAGCCTGTAAATCATAGAGGTTTAAAAAGACTCTGTCTCAAAATAAAATATTTTTTTTTAAAAAGTCTGGAGACATAGTTCAGTGTGTAGCTCCTGTACTGAATCCCCAGTTCCCAAACAAATAAATAAATATTAATAAATAGTAACATTGTACTGCTACAAATGTCAAAGGAGGGGAATATAAAGTAGATTCAAAGTGAAAAATTTTGTTTGAACTTTTCTGTTTCTACTTCCACATTTCCAATCAAATGAAGGGCCACACTTCCAGGTTGTTATTATTTTCGCCTTATTAAAAATAATAGGGCAAATGCATACATAAATACATACTAATGTTCATTTACTACTCACAAAAGTCCTATGAGGAAAACATTACCATTTCATTTTTCCAGATGAGGTGCAGCCTGGTAAACTGAGCCTCTGGGCAGCACCCAGAGTTACTGTTCAGACATGCATGCGCTTCAGGCATTTTCCTAAAACACTCCCCTTTGCTGAAAGAAAGGTAAGAAAAACCCCTCCTGAAATGCTATTTGAATTTTAGGCCATGAAGCACTAACCCACAGTAACACAGCGCAAAAACGTCCCTGTGTGAACGAAAGCCACTCGTCACACACAACGCCCACAGGGAACCCAGGCAGTTATTACGTTGAGAAGTACATCAAAGCCAGCCCTAAATCTTTAACATGCACGCATCTGTAAGAGAAAGACACAGGAAACCCTTCGTTACTATAAACTCTCGCAAAAGCGGCCAGTGGCTCGCAGCAAGTTGCGTCTGCGCTGCGAACGTTCCCTCTGCGGGGCGCGCGGCCGCGGGCCAGGGCGCATGCGTGGGCCCGCCGGGGTTACCTGGAGCGCCGGGCGCGCAGGCACAGGAAGAGCAGCAGCAGCGCGGCGGCCAGGGCGAGGCCGGGGAGGCCGAAGGGGCCCATCCTCGAGGACGCGTCTCCCGCCGTCGGTTAGTGCCAGGCCGCGGTGGGCAGCACGGGGATGACTCCGCCGCCGGTCGGCTTCTCTGAGACGCCCGCCTGCCTGCGTCGCCGCCGGGAAGGTCTCGCGGCCCGGAGGCTGCTTGGGAAGAAAGTTAGCGGAGTCGCCTCCTCCCTCTCAGCCCCGCCGGCCGCGCGCCCACACGCGCCGCCCCGCCCGCCCGCCAGGCGGCTTAGGGAAAACCGCGCCCCGGACGGCCAGGGGTGCCAAAGCGGGGAGCGGAGCGCACTTCCCGAGAAGAGGCCCCCAGGGCCCGGAGAAGGGGATTCCCTCGGAGTGGGAGCGAGTCCCGGGCTGGTCACCCTGTAGCCTGCGCGGGCGTGCGGCGCGAGGAGGAATAGTGTGCGGCCCTGGGAGCTCCGCGATGCCGCGCTGGAGCCGGCTTCCTCCCGCGCGAGGTCCAAGGAGCTGGCAGCCTAAGTGGCTGCTCCACGGCCTCAGCTCCCCACATCCGGGTGGTGCACAGGCTTTGTTCAGAGCCTGTTGTGTGCACATTGGCGCCGAGCGCGAGCAGGGCCATGAGCACCAGGGCTGTGAACTTTGTTTGTGAGGGCACATTGTCCAGAAATCTCTCACCGGCAAAACAAGAAATTGGCCAAGTCCCAGAAGTGGTCTTACAAGTTCGACCGAGGGCACTAACAAGGAGAAACTTTTTTAAGTGTCTTTTCTTGAGTGACCATCACCATGTATGTTAACATGTTTTCTTTCCTCCCTCCACTTGTGGTGTAAATTTTAGCAGTATTTCATAGGAAACAGACTTGGGTGACCTAGGTTGTCCTGGCACCTGCTTGGTAAGGATTCTAACTAGGGCCTTTTCCCAAACCTCTGTGTGCTTTCTAGCTCCACACTCTTCAGAGCTACTGCAATAACTTCAAAACTGATTTCCATCCTTTTGATCTTTCCCATGTATTGGCACCTAAATACCGACTTGCTTTTACGTTGAGCAGAACTCTTGGTAGTCATAAACCTCCCACCTGCAATGAAAAATACTCCACACTGTACTTCCATGGTTCAGTCCCCTGGCAAGGACACCTCCATACACATTAGAGCAGAAGCCTTGGGCACTTAAGTTCGGCTAAGTTGTTCATACCTTTGTTTAGGCTGTTTTCTTTAAAATTGCTCCAACTCTGCTTGTATAATTAATCCTTCTACCTCCAAACTTTAAGCACTCTACACTCTGTGGCTACCTTTTCCTCCATCCACTTTCCTTTCTCCATTTTCTTACATACTAAGTTGTTTTTTCCTGATTAGAAAAAGTGAATACTGTGAATTGCAAGAACCATTTTAGCACAAATAAAGATGTCCCAAATGGCGCATCTAACATTATTTCTTATACATGTGGAATTCCACTTTAACTAGAGTCCTATATTTTTGTTTACGAAGTATAAATCTAGCAAATCTAGCTTAATCTCAGCACGGAGATTCATATGGAACACATATGACAACTATGCCAATTCCCTTCAGTCAGCCATCTTTCCACATTGGTCACCAGCATCGTGGTGTTATGTCCCTTGGATGTATTGATTAGTCCATAGTCAACAGTCAAACCTAAAGGTATCACCATGGCTGATCCTTAAGACTTTGAGTTGTCACGTATGAAAATGTTTCAGTGTTAGGTAATAAATGGCTAAGTCATATCATTTCTTCTCAGAAAATATTGATGGTGATGCACATAAAGGAAGAGATACAGAAGCAAAATGAAAAAAAAAAAAAAAAAACAAATCCATTGGTGTCTTCAAATGAGTGAACTATGAAAGCGAGGTCATACTACGGAGCCGCATGCCACCAGTCCAGGTGACCCTTACTGGGTAGTTGAAGTGATGCTATGGTTTAAATATGCTTCATCCTCGAGAGTTCATGTGGTAGAGGCTTGCTCTTCAACATGGTGTTAGAATCTTTGAGAAACAGGGCCCATTAGGCTGGAGTTGGTTAGGTCATTAGTGCACTTTTGTTCTCATAGGACCTAGTTAGTGTGTCTGTCTGTCTTGTCTGTCTGTCTGTCTGTCTAATTATAAAACAGTAAAACTGGCCCCTAAATCTCTTCCTGACTTCCTATGTGAGTTCTCCCTTTTCCATACATTCCTGCCTTAAGGCCAATAAACGAGGTATGATGCAGCCAAGAGCGCCATCATTACAAGCTAAAGCAGTGTGGTTGCCCCAACTCCACAACTATGACCTCATAAAACTAAGATCTTTTTGAAATAGCTAGCTTCAGGTATTTTGTAATGGTAATAAAGAAGATGAATATAAATTATTTGTTTGCTTTTTTTTTCACCTAGTACTGACAGTTGAACACTGGAAGTCCCTTTTGTTTGTTTGTCTGTTTTCCTGTTGTGGGTGAATTCTGGCCTGGTTTCACTGCAGTCTCAGTGAGTCTCTCCCTTGCCTATGTACTCTAGTGGTGGATATTGAATCCAAGACTTTCTGCTGTTATGAAAAATCACTGTTTCAGACTGTTTTTCCAACATGACATACTAATTCTCTTGTTCTGAATTACTACTTTAGTCAACAGCTTTGTTAGAGATGCAAACTTTGTCTGTGGTACTGTACTTGGTTCAAGCAATGTATAAAAATGAACACAGTGTCACTTTTTTTTAAATAGCTGGGATGAAGAGGACAAAGAGGATTACTCTGGGTAAAGAGAAAAACCAAGCAGCATGCTCTTATGGAGTGGCAATGGAGAAATTAATGGACATGCACCCATATGGCTTCAATCTTGTGAGTTCATGCAAAGCACATGATATGCTGGGGAAAGCACAAATTAGAGGCATAAGTTGTTGGGAAACATTAGAAAGTACCACTGGGAAAAGCCAAAGTGGAATTCCATGCATTCTTTTCCCAGTATTGGGAAGGCCCTAAAATTAAAATCGAGTACTTAAGCCTGAAAGTACCTATCAACTTCTAACAAAAACTATAGACTGAGTTTTGAATCATATCAAAGCACCAGCTTATGTAACTAAAAAGAATGACTACAGTTGTCTTTTTTTCTTTTCCATGAATTCTGTTAACTAAACTTTGATGTCCTGTCTCTTATTAGAATTGAGACCACCACTGGGAAAATTTGTGAAGGAAAAAGAGAAGATAAGAAGATGACACATACTTTGTTTCATCTAACCCTCAAAACAAACCCCTGGAGTTTCTGCTTTGATTCTTGACTTTTCTTGGCCCTTGGATATCACAAAGGTTAGTCTGAGGTTTTTCTAACTGCCAAAAATGCTATCAAAATTCCTTCCTTATAGGTTTATGCAGAGTTAATTGTGAAAAATAAATATGTACAATGGAATACCTGGAGCTTCTCCCTTTTTTTACAGTTGAACACTGTACCTTCCACGGATACAAGCATAAGTATAAATGAGTTCATTAGACAAATTCAGCCAGCCTAACGGTCACCTTATTGATCTGATACTTCCAACCAATTAAAATGTAAAACACATTACTTTTCTGTTTCCTGAAGACTACTGTTCAGGCTGAGATAACAATAATCACATATACTGAAACTGCTGTAAGTCTGGGAGTTACTGTTTCGTTTTGCACATCATAAACAGGCATCGTAGATGCGTGCAACAAACTTTACTAAAAATACTTCAAATTAAAGTGTATTTTTATTTTCTGTTTATCTTGTTTTCCTTTCTTCTCTGAAGGCAGTTTGAAGGATTAACCAAGCATGGTTCAGTACAGGACACATACAGACCTAACAGGCAAAAATGTATTAAATAAAATGCCACTGACTAAGCAAATTGACCCACCAATAGAGAAAGTGATTCCCTTTAAACTTTTTTATATAAAGTACAATTTTAGATAAGAGCTAAATATAATTATTTTGAAGCAGCTGTAAAAATGGTGTAACAGATGGTTTTGATTATCTCCAACTAGAAGAAAAAGATTGGAGTTTGTCATTTCTTGTTTAACCATTTTGGCATTGCTTATACACATTTAAGTTCTGAATTCTCCAGTTTATAAATTCGGAATTCTGTACTAAACCTTCATTTATTCTCACTATCTGGTCCCACCTCCCATGCCAAGTTTTGAGACTGTTTCTCTTTGTCTCTGACTCACACTGGCTTTTTCTAGTATTTCATTCCTAGTTAGCCCCAAAATCCAGATTTCTGAGGACACAAAGTATGAAGTCCTACCTGAGCATTACTTTTAATGAGAACCATTTTCTTTGTCTCACCTCCCTGGCCACCTCTATTCGCTAAAGGAATGCTTTATAGACTGCGAAACGTTTTCTTATGGATTGTACTGGGCTGGTCCTCCGAGAAGTACTGAAAAAAAAAAAAAAAACACAGAGAAGAAGATTCCCTAAAGACTCATAGGTTTATTTGGGATAGCACAAAATTGCATGGGGAGTATTAATGCCATAACAAGCTATGAAAACATTAAGAGGCTGAGGCAAGGGAAAATTTTCAAAGGTAAAATGGGGATTATGTGAGACATTTTGAACGTTAACTTCTGACTACAAGGATTAATGACAAAGGTGGCTCAGCCAAGTATTAAATAGTTATTAGGCAGAAGATCTTTGAGAATTACTTTGTGTGTGTAAAGTTGTGGCAGTCTTTGTGTGAAATTGTAGTTCTGACTTTTGTGCATAGTTCTTGTTACCAGGCAATTGTGCATAAGATCCCATCATTGATAATTATTCAGGTTTATTTATTTTGTAGTCAGGGTATAACAAAAGTAACTCCTTTTTAATGCTAACTATTTCCACAGTTACCATAAAAAAAATCCTTGGCATGTTTTATACCTTAGTCCTTTTAAGTCACATGGTGATAGGATATTTTCTTATTTTTTTCCCTGGCATTTTTCAGTCACTCTGGTTCCATTCATCCTCTGAAATTTTCCTGTGCAAACATCAAATACCTCTTGCCTTTGAAATGCAAAGCAAGTCTGCTTGTATATTTTATTTAAGCAAACCATTAGTGTCCCCTATGACACGTAACCACCAAACTTTGTTCTGAATAATGAGCATGCACAGTTTTTAAAAAAAATATTATCAACAACAAAATGCTTAAATATTTTTAAAAATTGGCATGCATCATACTCTCCTTCATGAATGTAAAATATTAGGCGAGAAATTGTCTTCTTGCCCATCTTTTCTTAAAGATTTAATCACAGTCAATCAGAACATATATAAATAGAGAGATGCCAACATGTGTCCCTTCTGCACTTACAGTTTATTTCTAGATATACTATGTCTTTTCTTCACTTGCCTCTTCTCTCTTTTAGTAGTTTCCTGATCTAGAAAAGTACAAGGGCCAATTCAGAATTTTCCTGCTTGTTGGGTATTCATTGACCTCAAAATTCCTTCATCTTTTCCAGTCCATCCTCTTTTTGTTATTGTTGCTTCTTCATTTAGTTCTGTGCCATCCTGCATATCCCTTCCTTCTCTGGATTCTAACTACTACTATCAGAAAAACTCAAGCCCTCTAGCACACATTCCCCATGCAAAGACTATCATAAATATAATGCTTTAAGGAATTTTCTAAATCTTACACAGATACAAAGTGTATATTAGAATTGCACCATTATTCTCTGCATTACTGATTCAGTAATCAGAACTTTTAAAAATAGAAGTCTGAAAATAAACAAGTACTTCCTTTGACTTGTAAAGCATTTTCAAATATTGTCATATTTGGTCATTTTGTAATCCAGAGAGCTGCATATTTTCTTAACCTTACACACATACCTTATCATCTATAGTAATGGGCACCATGTCTGTCTGTTTTTGCTAATGCACACACAGTGCTTGACATAGTAGTGCATATATTTTTTATATTTACAATAAATATTTGTGGAATAGAAATTAGAAAACTGATTTTGAAAAGTAAAATTTATGTGGTAACTACCCTTTATATATTGATCACAGAATATCTGACACCCACACTTTAAAGAATGAGAGGTTTATTTTGGCTCATGGTCACACTCCTTGGTTGGATGTCTCCAGTGCAGCAATGAAATGGTGAAAGGGTCAGCGCAGGGGAAAGCTGCTCACATCTTGATGGTGAGGAAGCAGAGAGAGAAAAGAGGAGCTGGGGAGAAACCATACACTTCCAAGTGGCTGCCACAATGACTCACATTTTCCAACCACCTCTTAATAATAGTGTATTCAGCTCTGATTTCATCAGTGGGTTAATCCTCTCATGAGTGGAGTCCCCCGTGATCTGCTCAGCTTTCATCTTACAAGACTTACAGGGAATATTTTAAATCCAAACCATAACATTTTGCAATTTAACATTTTTTCTAAAAGGTATTTCTAGATCTTGAATAAATAATCATAAATCACTGAAGTTTTAATTTGAAGAAATCACGTAAATACAGAGCTCACTTACAGGGGGCAAAATGTAACTAAGTTATTTTATAGAAATAAAAAGAATGAACGATAGAAGCCTGAGGATGAGATATTGGAACTCATGCTACGGAGTTTTATTTTATATTGTTTCATAAAGAAATAACCTGTATTAAAAGCTTTGCAGACATCCCAAAATTACATGCCAGCATAACAGGAATAAATAACAATTGTCTTACTTAAGATTCAGTATGATATTATTTTAGAACAAAATCGACTCAGTTGTAGTTACCAGGGACTTATCTTCACAGTATCTATTGTGTTTGCTCTAAGGGTTTTTCAGTATCTTAATGGAACAAAGGGATGGCCCTGCCATAAGTCCACTCAAATAAGAGATTATGTGCCACATGGAATACATAAATTTGTTCCAATGATAGTGGGAGAGAAAAAGGATAATTTTTGGATTGATAGCCATTGTTTTCATGTCTCTGCATTTCTTTCCTCTCTGCCATTTTTTAAATCTTGAAACAGAACCTTTGCAAGTGAAGGCTATTGAAGAAAAGAAAAAGTAATGATTTTTGCTAAAATTTTTTCAAGCACAGAGCAATATCTTGTTATCCAAGCATTCACAATAACCTAAAAGGAGGTAAGAGTACATTTCCTGTTCCATGAAACAACAGCCTAGGACCCTTAGCCTCAAGTGACCAAAGTCCAGAGGAGGAAATAGAATTCAGCAGCATAACCAGATGATTTTAGATAAACTAAATTCATAGTGCCAAATACATTTTTTCATATTCCTATGCATACCTTAACTTTTCCTTTTAGCCATACTCTCACTTTATTGAAATACTTTCTTCTCCAGGCTTTTGCAAATGTCCTTTGCGTGCTCTTGTTGGTTTTGTTTTGTTTTCTGTCTCATGGTTAGTTCTTCTTCTACTTGGCCACTCAGTGCCAAAGAGCTCAGTCTCAGGTGCTCTTCTTATTAAACAGATAAACTTTATACTTTAAAAATGATCTCCAGATAGCAGTTCCTTAACATATCTCCTCCGGACTTCTATGAGAGACAGTCTTATACATAGCACTTGTCTTACAGCCCCCACGGCTGTTTCACATGCACCTCAAACTTGGCAGATAGGAGCTCAAAATTATTTCTACCACACCTGCCCCATTTTCCTGTGCGCTACTATCTATCCAGGTGCTGAAGTGAACCTTGCCTTAAGTAAAAACCATTTAAAACATATGTTAAACTTTTCTGATTTTTTCACTTTTATAGCTGTCATTCCTTTCAAAGATAGTATTATTCATCTCCATCTGCGTGTCCTTAGATTGCTTTCACCCCGTTCAGCCATACTGCATTCTCCACACTATGATCTTGTAGTGTGTTTATTTTCAAAGTGCAAATCTAATCATGCTTCTACAATATTTTAAATCCCTACAATGTAACATCACATTGTTTTTTGGATAAAATACAAAAGGCTTACGCTTTAAGCTTGCATCATCTTCAATGAGTAGTCCCTCACTTTGTATCTCCATGACAATCCTAAAGGAACCTAGTATTGACTGGCATTTGTTTATTGAATGAACCTATACTTTTTTCTGCCTTTTCACATAATCCTTCCACTACTGTTTCATGTCCATCCCTTCTTTGGCTATCAAATTTTTAAATCTTCTTCTGAACAAAAATTAAGCATTGTTTACTTGTAAAAGTGATTCCTGGTTCCCTAGAAGAGGTCAGTAACACTTAATCTTTGTCTTCTTACTGTACTAAACTTCATCTGACTAGCACTCATAATAGTAAATCATAACTCACTGTAATGTGTTGAATGTCTTTTCATTAGAATGTCAGCTTATTAAATTAGAACTTCTGTTTGTGTAGTATGCTACTGTATTTTCACAC